GAGTCCTTTCATTTGCTTGCTGCTCATCTTTGTATCGCTGTAACATCAATTCCCAATCTTTTTTATCACCACTTTCAATCCCATATCTATACACCAGAGTACGGAAATCACTGGGAACACTACGGACAATAGAATTCGGGAATTATCCATATGTGAATAAATATATTATCTAATTAATCTACAAATGCCAAATATCAAATTCTGAAAGGTACATTTAATATTAGTAGTAATATCCAGATTCTTTGTTTGGTCATGTAAGTATTAAGATTTCTGGTTACCAATTTAAGTATTCAGGTTCCAGGTTCAGTAAAATAAATATACAGATCCAGAGTTTTCAGATTCAGATTCCAGGTTTTAGTATTCAGATTCCAGGTACGTATGATTAGTATGCTTATAACACATCTTGTAGAAAAGATAACATAAATTATCCATCTGTAAAACACCGTACTGACGTGTCCTTATTTGGACAATGTGTGTGATATCTACGTCACAATCAATCGAACAGTTTCAACAGTAGCAACGTAACGCGTTACTGAAATAGAATCACGTGACTGAATGCAAACGTTCGCACAGACATGAACACTTTTCACTGTCATTTCAGGCTGTTATACTAGTATCTCACTATATTATAAGTACAAGCAGAGCAGGAAAATATGTGAACTCAGGCAGTACGGGATCACATTGATTTCCGCTACATGTCAGACAATACGATTCACGTACTGTCTTTATACTCAATTTGCGGTATTGTCGTAATGACCTGATAATATATATCAATGTCACTGTCTCACTACCACAACTTACCTTTCGTTATTCTTCCACTTCTCAAAATAGTCCAAGGCCGCTTCTAAGCAGTCTGCATGGCCATTACCACATGCAAGAGACAGTATGTTACCACGTAGATATCTAGCAAGTAAACAAACAAAGAGAGTAGATTAGCATAATTTGGTGGCCCTTGAAGTAGCACAATTTATTTCATTAGTCAAAGCAGAGTTTCTGATTAATCCCCTCTATCAGGGTCAATAATACAATATCATTCAAGGATATATCTACTATTTAAACATTGGCATAGGAAATGTACCTAACAGCCCCATTTGAAACTTTCGGATAACGACACAAGATACAATACTTGACCACAGAAAGGGGAGATTATATGCTACCTTCACATTATGGAATCTTAACCCGTGCCGACAATTTTAATCCTTTGTGTTTGCAGGGTGATTTACAGCATTTGCGTTAACGTTAGTGACCCACTTTGCTCATGCCGAAATCATGCCCTCATTCGTCGATCTGTTAGTTGATCAAAACATGGCAAAAGAAGTATACAAAGAACCATTTTTTCACGTCGATGCAGCATTGCAAAATGATGCAGCATTTCGGTTCGTGCCGAGCGTTAAGGCAGCAAATCTCGGCATGTGTCGGTCCAGAGCATCTTTGGGGACCGAGATCGAGTTATTCCGACACTTGCTGACTCGGGACCGAGTCTCGGCACGCGCTGTGATCTCTAACGTGAACGCCACTATATAGAGGAAGGTAAAAGCAATACCACGGTAAGGTCAATCTTGATAACTTACTTTGTAAGATGTCCATCATCATCGTTTTCCACAAATTTAAGTTCATTATAGATCGACTTCACTTGTTGTTGTATATAGTTCTGATACAAAGAATACATGTCATATGTATATTACAATTTTAATGCTTTTGACTTGGTTGCTATCCGTTGAAAAAAACTCATTATAATAGAGATCTACTCACTCTCCAATTGCCATACGCTTGTCGGTGATACAACAAAACTGACAAATCGTTAAAGATATCAGTTATAGTATCCCAGGGTACAAAATCCTCTTCATTTTCAAGATATCGTGTCAGATCCAATGCAATGCTATAATTAACATATCCAGCCCTGTGGAGTAAACGACAACACAAACAAACACAGATGTCACTCTTTGCACGAGGCTACAAAGGAACAGCTAACAACGAATTAACAAATCGACCAATAAAATATTACCATGCCAGATTGAATGCGTCGTTCAATAAACCTGCTCTATCACCAGCGGACAGCGCCTATGAAATAAACGTTTATTATTATTGTAAAGGGTATACTGTGTATTAACTAATAATATGATATTTATTTATCTAGGTCAATGTGATAGGTTTGAGAAATTTGGGTGCATGCAAAAATCTAATGTAGTATATGTATTATATGTAGTATTAGGAGTGTCAATGAATTTGAACAATAATGGAATAAATTCGAACACAACATTAATGTTGACATACCATCATTTTTCCATAATTGATTAATTGTTTAGGGATTTCAAAGAAATAGATCCTGGAAAGGGTCTGACACGTTCAAATAAACAGAGTTTATATTATTCTTGTTTTTTGGTTTTCATGAACTTTATAACGAGAACTGCAAAAGTGCACCAACTTCATGACAGTGTTTGTAAATGTCGATGATGGATTGCTATATCTTATCCCTGACAACATAAAGATTGTCAGATTATATTCTGGACTATATATTATACTGTAAAACGCCAATAGTCTCAGCATAACACATAGTACCTACCATATGATATTCACGTAACTGTTTCACTAACGCTATCCAGTTTTCTTCATCATAATTAACACGGTATACACCTGTCTGATTGACATTAGCTTTGATCCAAGTAGAATTATCAGACGGCCACTCAAAAATAGCTGCATCAAAATAAATCAAATTACGTAAAAATGTGCGATTCTGGCAGTGTGTGGAAATAATAAAAATACCTTATAAGGAAATACAATTGTTTTGAATATCATTAGCTCGCAACCTATGAAACAATATTGTACTTTCTGGCAAATTTTGCACAAATGATTAAAGAAAAGTTAATATTAATGTTTTAGTTAATATTTGACCTTCGCTCCTGTCCATCCATTCGTAGGCATATTCTCCATTTTCAGATTGGTAATCGAATCGGACATACCATTCATAGCTGTAAGACATAAAGTTTATATTATAGTTATGCATTTCTCTACCGAAATATTATTATGAGGGTTTAACTAAAATAATCGCAAGTAATTTCGTCAAAGTAACAAAAACTGATGTTACCACATAGTTACAATAATACTTAGTTACAACAAAATGAGAAATTGGCATGGCAAAAGTTCAAACTCTAGATAATGGCGATGAACACGATAAATACTTTCAACACTATGAAATTGTTTCGTGTTTTAGGGAAGAAAATTCAGAAATCATATTAAAAACAAATCATTATAAAATGTATTCCATATGCACATCAATGATAAATTATCGATTACATAAGAATGTGACAGAAAAGGCTATATTCTCCACAGTTTTGCATTTTATTTGTCTTGAATTATAAGTGTGTAGTGTGTTCAACCACTCATGTATAAGCAATAACTTTGATAAATATGATTTTTATTTTAGAAATGCTGTATTTTTCTGCATAAAAATGAAAAAAAATTCACAATGATGAAAACGAAAAATCTTTATCGTATTGTTTGGTTGTTCGTTTTGTTCCTTTTGAACTATTTTCAATAATTTATAACGATCTACTAAATCTACATAATTATGGCCTTACCTTAACAGTTTACATAATTACGCAATGTCGATTATTGTATCCATGGCAATTATGTATCCATGGTAATACTCACTCATACGGCGAATAAGTCGTATCCTCCGCCTCCGGATCAATCAAGAATCTGGTCTGTGTTAGTCTTACGAACGCTTTACCGGCATGATCATGTGATCTCTTTATTGTAATTACTGGGTATCCCATCTGTAGTGTCCATGTATCCATCACTCGGGGTACATCGAAATAAGTGTGCTAGAGAATGTTGATCCATAATGTCAATGTCAAATGCATCACTATGCAACAATACCCTTAATATCAGAAAAGTTAATATTCACTAAACAGATTTCTCCAACTATACAATATCAGATTTTTTTATCTATTATACAACATCGTTTTATTAGATGCCACTGTTCGCAATCCAAATAAAAAGTCACAAAAGTAATCCATCGTACCAAAAAATAACAGTGATTATTATTATCGCTTAAATGCAATGGATACCTATCACTGAATCGAATTATTTGGAAAGTCGGGTTTGTATATATTGTAAAGAAAATTCTTAACATGGACTACTGCCTTAATATACGTTCCTTGAATACGAGAGAACATTAAACAACAGTCCGATGCCCACACTAACAATTACTTCCACAGACTCTCTGGAATTCTGATTATATCTTGTCTAAGTCTTTGTTCAAACCCTAACAAACCCATACAAATATTGACGCTTCCATACTCACGTCAGTTAGTGTGTTCCATAAGTCAGCTGTCGTAGCTGATGAGAACTTGTACTTGTTCATGTAGTTCTGAAAAACACGTATCACGTATACAATACACATTATTCATTTGGAACTATTTGTACTTGTTTTTACAACGTATAGTAATCACGTAGTAACTTGCAACAATCTTCATAGAATACCTAATATTTTCAAGTGGTGTTTCTTAAGAATTGCGCAAGCTAGCCATGCCCCTTTATTAATACTATACATTGAACATCGTTTACCAACTGTATCGCACAGTAAACATTGAATGGTACTGAATAATTGATTGACGACTACAGATAAAAAATATGCGTCGCTGATTTATGTCAGAGAATCGAAATTGGAATGCGTTACTGACCTTGATACCGGTTCTGAAATCTTCACCCATGATAGATTCCAACATACGCAATATTGATGAGCCCTATTAAACAATAAACTTATACATACATATACTTATACATACATATACTTATACATACATATACTTATACATACATATACTTATACATACATATACTTATACAATATACTTATACATACATATACTTATACATACTTAAGCTAATACTGTGAAAAAACAATGACGAATATATAGAAGTGGGGGAGTCGTCAACTGCGCATGCGTCAGATGGCCATAGCGTGTCATTGTTTACAAACAAGCGTCTACCCATGGGTCTTTGCGTTTTTAGCGCGCGTTGTTATTGGGACTCAATTCCCGCGCGTGCGCAGGTGACGACCCTCCCGCTTTAAGTTAAGGGGTACGACGAAGGTGGGATGTATCAATGTGCACTAAGTGTTTCAGTCTTGAATGAATAACATCCTCTGACTAGGATAGAGTACTACTCAAACAAATCTGCAAACGTGTAAACGTTATATATGCCTATGTAACCGAGTAAGGATGCTTTACAAAGTACATACCTTACTGTAGGTTATAGAGTCGAAGATTTCATTAATCTTGTCGGGGTGTTCTAACGGTTGAATTATAGGATGTGAGCTCACTATCTGGTCTTGCTCCATGGCGTAGAATAGATCAGAGGTCAAGAACTGGTCGTACTGAAACAATTAAAATGAACGAAATGAATCAGAATAAGTTATTTGACCACTAATTTGACCATCACATTGACATCGCATCTGTAGATAAGAACTGTTGAAATACATTACCATTAACCAATCTGGGTGCACGTAGTTAACGCCTTCATACTCTAAATAGCTGGCAAATCCCTCGTTCAGCCAAAGATCGTTCCACCACAGACACGTCACAAGGTTTCCAAACCACTGTAAAAAAGAATATTATGTAACCTTTCACCTAAATAAAATAATTCTTCTAAATATAGTAAACAATCCTCATTTCAGACTAACTGTGAAAGTGTGTTTATAATATATTTACCAAGTGTGCTAGTTCATGACCTATCACCACGGCAACACGTTGTTTGTTACTTTCTGATGACACATCCGGGTCATAAAGTAGATTGGTCTCTCTGTATGTGATTATGCCCCAGTGTTCTGTTGCACCAGAAGGGTAATCAGGTACGGCTACCATGTCTGTAAAATTATTATATAAAGAAAATGACAGACATGATGTTTCGAATAAATAAATAAATTAATTAATTAATTTCTATGACTGGCTTTCCTAATTCACTGGCCCTCCCCTGGTAATTAATGTCCAGTTCCTAAGATTTGTTTTCCTCACTTGCCGTTCATATACCTCAGGGAAATACAATAATTTATCATGAAACACATTGTCCGACACATTATTGACAGAAATGTTTTTTAAACATAATTATGAAACACGAAATGTACACATCATCAAATGGAATGGAATATGGAATAAGCGAATAAGCATTTCTAGAGCGACGATGTGTGGATGCATGGTCACGTGACTGTGCAGGTGATTTGTGGTGTAATGCAACATGTGTTCACTATGATGCATATATGAATCAGGTGCAGTAGTCCTTGTATACAATAAGTAGTGTTACCTTCGTACACCAGTATGTAGTATGTAGTGTTTAGTAGTCACCTGATTTGAGCATAGGATACTCCACATCAAACCATTCATTCTCGAAATATTCGTGCATTCTTTTACCGATGTCTAGAGCGTAGAGAGTCTGGTCGATTTGGTCAGCATGAGTCCATACTCTGAACTGAAATAAACACCACGTAAT